TTCAGCCTCAGCAGGCGTCGGTACGTCCGTCTGCTTATTGATTCTTCATTGATTCGATTGTTTGTTGTCCCTCTGAGGACAGATGTTTGTTTGTTTGTTGACTCCAGATGTTGGAGCTTTGAAGGTTGTTGATTATTTGATCAATAACAGGATTGATTAGTCGACTGTCTCACTGATGAACCTGTCAATCATTGACTCCACAGAGATTTACTTTAATCTGACGGGTTAATTAATTAAATTTGTTTAATTTTTAAGTTCACAGCTGAGATCAGATCTGCTGACTAATCAGTCCTGCTTTGAGAAATGAAACATTTATTGAACATGTTGGACCAGAACCAGTCGTTTGGACTCGTCTTATTAAACGTTTCATTTGTCAGATGTGAAATAAATCAGTTTGATGGATGAAGTTTTTAATCAGCAGCTGCAGCTGGTTTTGTTTCTGATTCAAACATCTGGAAACATCTGGGCTCAAACCAGTGGCGTCACTAGGCCTATTATAGGGGGGCTAGAGCTGCGTAAAAGACCCCAGGAGGCTGGAGTTTCCCATCAGAACAGCTGTTCTTGAACGCATCGTCGGACCCATCATCAGAACCGTCATGTGACGTTCCTGCAGGACCCAAACATGGTCAGAACCCTGAGCAGCTGCTGAGCGCCTGCAGACGGTCTGTCTGCTGATGGACGGAGAGCCGCAGGAGACAAAAACCTCCTGATGTTTTTACTTTTAGTGGTTTAGGACGCGCTTTGATCAGGGTTCTGTAAAGCCTGGAGGAACGGTCCAGAACCTTCAGGTTCTGTAGATGTTTTCTGTCTCATCTGAAAGGATTTAAATAATTCTTCTGTCATCTGAAGGAGATCTGACTTCCTGATATTCATGAGAAATAAAAATAATAAGCTTTAAAGTGATTCTTTGGGTGGAGCTGAGATTTGTTCTGGTTCTTCTGCTTTAGGTCCAGTTTGTTCATAAATTCACWACAACTGAAGTTTAATGAACAGAACCTCTCAGGTGAAGCTTCCTGGTCTCTGGACCTGCAGAAGGTCCAGTCTGTAATCCGGTTTCTTCAGATGTTTGGATTATTTTTTACATTTATTGTTTCAGCTGCAGCTGCTGGTTTCCTTCAGAACTGATGTTTCACTTTATTAAGGATTAAAAGATGTTCACTGTAAAGCTGTTAGATTGTCTCTGAGCTATGTAGACTCAGGTTATTCTGGATTAATGACACTCTGGATTATCTTGACTCTGGAATAATGACACTGGACTAAAAAACTGGACTAATGACACTCTGGATAATCTTGACTCTGGAATAGTGACACTCTGGAGTAATAAAACTGGACTAAAGAAACTCTGGACTATCTTGACTCTAGACTAATGACACTCTGGATTATCCTGACTCTGGACTAATGGCACGCTGGATTATCCTGACTCTGGACTAATGGCACTCTGGACTATCTAGACTCTAGACTAATGACACGCTGGATTATCCTGACTCTGGACTAATGGCACTCTGGACTATCTTGACTCTGGACTAATGACACTCTGGATTATCTTGACCCTGGAATAATGACACTCTGGATTAATGACACTGGACTAAAAAACTGGACTAATGACACTCTGGATAATCTTGACTCTGGAATAGTGACACTCTGGAGTAATAAAACT